GTGGCCACGTTAAAAAATATATATAAAACCCTCACGATTATCAAACAGATATTTTTGTGTTATTTTTTATAAATTACGTCACCAACTCTGCCACTTTAAAACCAAAAGTACGGGCTACCTGTGTGATTTAAAGAGCAATTCTAACATGTCTTAGGACTTGCTTTTAAAATGTGAGCTGTTGAAGGGCTAGAGTTTGACTAGCAGAGTTGTAGGGTAAAATCTGAGTTTAATGTTTTGTTGGGAACTTAACAGATACTGAATATGGAATGTGAAAATATTTAACCAGCTAGAATCAGTCATTATAGTGTTACTTGTTGAAGTCAGTTTTTTTTCTAGTTGTATTCTGTCCCATATCCCTCTATTTTCCGGAGTACAGCACAGGTCTAAACTGCGTGTTCTGTAGGCTCTGAGCTCGAGCGCTCAGGCTGCTTTTACAGGGGATAAGCAGCACTGTGTTCATCGAACAACAGAAAGCAATTTAAAATGGGTTGCAGCCACCTTTTTTCCTCAGCTCTTTATGCTGCTTTTAGATTACTCCGCTTTGCAATTATTCAGCTATATTGTCCACGAACAGCGAGAGATCGTCACATTTTAGGATCCTTTTCTTAAAGGGCATAGTGCCGATTTGAAAAGCTGTCGAGTTAGACGAGTTCACTGACTTATTGGCTAGGGCTGTCGAAACGCAGCGTGCTCGGCAGCGAGGGGTACAGCGAGTTACCCGCTCAGAGTGCCCTGCCGCCCGTGTGGGGACGAGGCTGCGCCGACTGACACGGCAGGCACCACCGGCCCGCGTCACCCGCTCCTCACGGGGAGGCCACGCGCTCGGCCCGTCTTGCTGTGGCAAACTCTTTGGTGACTGAAGGCACCTTCTAGATCAGCGGGCAACGTTACCTGAGCTGAGAGAGCCGTTTGGGGATCCCCTTAGCTAGGTGGTGGTATCGGCGTGGGGCTGCCTCTCGAGTTCTCCTCTTAATTTTTCACTGCTGTGTTCATCAGTTTCAAAGGGACAGTGAGGTAAAGTCTGTTGCCGGTGACCCTCGCTAGTTTTCCCTCATGTCACCCACAAGCTTTTGTAGTTCATATCATGTGAGCAGAACAAATGATTGTTGACTGGAAAGAACCGACCCTGTACGTTGTGTCTCTGAAGTTCTGCCTTCTTCAAGTGCTACTTTCAGTTCTCGAAATGAGACATCCTGTGAAGAAATGCAAAGCTTAAGGTTAATTAAACGGGGCTTTTGCATTGCCAGTTTAGAATGTGGTTGCCTTTATTGAAAGATGGGGCTGTGCAGCACCAAGAAGCTGTCGGTCTTTGTGCACTGTGTCGCTGTCAGAAATGGCAGGAACGTGGGTTTAAGGTAGTCCTGGCTTTATCTGCGTCGGAAGAACATGGACTCTGGTGGTGTTGATGGGCCTTAGTTTGAATTTACATAGTTTACACGTGCTTTGAGGCCTATACTGCCTAGTAAACTTACTGAAATTTGATAAGTTATTGAAGAACTTGATACTACATTTCACTGAAAATGGAAACCCTTGTAGTCCTATGCTAAGAGTATTTTATGCCTAGATGTGTGGACAAGCTTGTAATTCGACAGTAGTTATGTAGCTAATCACTTGGTTCGTGTTTGTATTTGTTGGCACTAAAACCTCTTTAAAAAAGAACAGGCCCTCGCTGGTTTCTTTCATGAAATAACCGCTCCATGAAGAATGAGCTTTAACGAGAGATTTTTTAAATAAAAACAACTCTGCCCCGTTTCCTTTTGAACCTTTCAGATCTTTCAGCAGGCATTAACCACATTTGATGGCGTCTTTGCTGGCAGCTGAATTTAAGCTTTAGAAATTTTTTGGACAGTTATCAATATAGTTCAGGCCTATTGTCTCCTTAAAATAAAAAAAAAAAAAAAAAAAGAGCTTCCCTGAGAGTTGAAACTCTTGAGTCTGTTTTTTGGGCAGAGTTCATCCCGGGAGAGTCCTGGGAGAATCCGGGGCTGCCGGTTTGGTCCCAGAGATTTCGAACTCTCCGTGAAGACTGAAGAATATTGGCAGGAATGCGTGTCGAACTGATCAGACAATCCAGGCAAACTACTCAGGAATCAACTGTTTTATCAGACTCCTTCCTGAGACTTCCACTTAGTTTAAAGCCAGGGCCTGGAATGAATATATATATGTATGTGTGTATATTATATGTATGCATATATATATGTATATATGTATTTTTTTTTCTCTATGTTACTTACCTGTGTGTGGCAAGTAAGCAGGGTGTTGATCAGATAATGTTGTTCTTGCCCTTGAAAGCCCAAAGGAAAAGGAAAACAGAAGGAAAAACTGGGTCTAATGAAATGCTCAGCCTGTGTGAGGCCTGTACTGGAAGGGTTAGGTCATCTGAAGGACAGTCCTGGCTGCCACTGGCTCCAAATTTGGCTACAAATAAAGGAAGCACGAGTCAGGAATTTGACAAAAAAAAAAAAAAAAAAAGGAAAAGACAAAAGTTTTATGAGTAGTTATTAAAATAACACTTAAAAATACCTTGAAATACATTCCCCCATAAGCACAAAGCTGCTTTTAGTATAGGTGACCATGGAAAAGAGCATTGTTTTCTTTGCAGTGGCAAAAAGAGGGCTTTCCTTACAGCCCCGCTTAATGTCCCTGCCAGGAGGCCTGCAGAGCAGGCAGCACCCGGGAACCTGCGTTGGTTTATTCTTAGGCACAAGAGCTTTCTCCCGAGGAGGCCAACAGAGCAGATTCCTTAGGCCTGGCCCTAAGGTGACTGCCCGTCTGCTGCCTGTGAGCTCAGTATCGAGTTTATGGTCTTGGATCTCTTCAACACCCCCAGTGATCTGGCACAGTTTAGAGCAGACCTGGCTGCAGGGGCTGACAAATTGCCTTGCCCTGGGTACGGGCATCTGGTGAGCTGACCAAATCCCACGGTGGCTTTAAGAAACATTCTTGATATCTCAAGTATGTTTAGTTAGCAGAGCGCCTTATAAAACATCCTATATCCCTTTATTCCTCAAATGTATTTGGATTTTGCTTGAAAAGGAGGATAACTGTTAGAGCAGGAAGAAAAATCGTGTTTTTAAGCTGGGATGCAGATACCATGGAGATAGCTGTAAATAGAGACCATGTTTATTTTTTTTTTTTTGTGCTCTATTCTGGAGTGGGAGTCCTGCTCGCTGTGGATCTTGGTGGAGTACTGGCCTGTGCACGTAATCTGCCTTCTTCAGTCTGGAAGTCCAGAGTAGTTAATGGTGGCTCTGGCTGCAAATAGAATACAAATTATTTCCTTATAAGTACCTTGGGTGTCTTTTCAAAGTTATTCTAAGCTTGTTAATGAATGAGATTTTGGACTGGCGAGATTAGAGTTCCTCTTATTTTATTGGTTTTTTTGTGTGTGTGTGTTTTTTTTTTCCTAATACAAATGAAGCTTCTTTATAAGCTTCTGACTATTTTTCAACTATCAATCAAGAAACAAGCCTCAAAAGAGAGTTATTTAACCTTTTATTTTGCTTCACAGTTTCAAACTCCCTTTAACCCCAAAGAACACGGAAATAAAAACACTTGTGTTAATTACAAAAACAATAATAAGTCCTCGTTTACTCTGTGTAATTGGAACAATTTCATCCATAATTCTAAGAGAGGGACTAGTTTTAAAGCTTGAACTTACAATACCAGTATTAATACATATACAATATGTATATGTATACAATATACAATACCCGCCCAGCTCCTTTCTGACCCCCCAAAATTATCTCAAGGAGATCAAAACAGGAGTAAGGAGCAAGTAAGGACAGTCCCTTGGAGAAGTTTTCATTTGATGACATCTTTTCTTCTGCTTACAACAGTTAGCTACTACATTAAGTGGTCTAAAAGCACTCAGTTTTCAGTGTAAACATGCGACTTTTCTGTGTATAGTAAAGCTTATAGAAGAAGCATTTTCCATACAGGTATATGCACGACTATATATGACTGCTAAGCTGTATATACATATACACACACATATATACATTATACAATCTTGAGATGGATAATGTAGGAAGGACTTTCTTAATATAATAAGAAAAGACTAGCACATTTTAAAATGGGTTCTATTTTCCAAAACTTCCGCTAGAGCCCATTATTGTTTTTGTTGTCATTGTAACAAGCAACTTTAAATTACCCATGCTCGCTTTATTTTTGTATTACAGTTGAGAAGGACTCGTAGCTGTGGTTTAAAGAAAAGGCTGGCATATGAATGGATGACTTGAATGTAGATTGCGTGTGTGTATATATATTTATATATGTAATATATAGCCTTGCAATTGAAGTTTCAGCCTTCGTTTCTGCTCAGTGAAGTGTTTTTCCCCCCCATTTATGAATTTATTTCTTGTCATGTGGTTGAAGCAACTGTAGTATCATGGGCTCAGTCTTGTCTTGTGACCTTTAGTGTAATCAGTAGTTCAGACTGGGTGTAATGAAAAACTCTATCATCTTTGTTCACGCTGGCATGTTTCTTGAGTATGGTGTAGTTTAGCAAAACTGGAACCCAGTTAACTTTGCTGTGACTGCTTTAATGTCAAAGTATTTGCCAGGTAACAGCAGTTTCTTGGATGCTGGTGTCACCTGTCAGTTTTCAGCTGGGCACTGTTCAAAAACCAAAATAAAATTTTGCCAAAGTGTCTTTGACTTTTAACATTAGTTTAGTTTGTGCCTGGGCTTCTGTGCACACACAATTGTCACAGTGTTTTCTTGGCAAAAATCTCATGTTTCGGAATTTCCATCCTTTGGAGCAGTTTAAACAATTTCTGAAACCTCATTTTCACCTGTGAAAACGAGCCCATGTTTTTGAGCACTTAGTGGAAAACCAGCAATTTCAACCATTACCTCCAGCTGTGCCAGGAGGATGTTGTAGCTACAGCCCAACCACCAACACCTGCTGCTCGTTGGCCCTGTTGCTGTGGGTGGAGCTCAGCTGACCTGGGACCTTTTATACCTGTTCCTCAGTGCTCTTGAGGACGTGTAAGAGCACCAGCAGGGTATGAACATGCAGAATGAGTTCTTGGTAGAGATAATTTGGCCTTTTCAAAGCATTTTGTTTAGGATTCATCGCAGGAGTGTTACTGTTGTTGTTAAGTGGATGTTTGAAAAAAATTAAGCTGTGGACAGTTACATCTTCAAGTTGCATCTTGAGTGGAAGACAGAAGAGCTTACAGTAATTTAAGGTCAGTTCATATATTCTGTAATGGATTGTTGAACATGTAAGGCCTAGTAAAACCTCAGGTGTTAGAGGTCTTGCCAGGTACGGGAAACTCTCCCCGATGCAGCTAGAGATTTTGTAATTATTACATTAATGACAATGACTTACTAGGTGCTTGCTTGTTTGTATTCTGTCCGTGCCATGAACATATTTAGCACCTTGGTTAAACCTGTATTTTTTCCAGTGTCAAAAAAGTTACAGGAATGTTTTAGTTTGGCTGCAAGGGTGCTGTGTAAATTGGTCTTCTAAAAACACAAGGGAAGTAGGGAGGATTCTGGCACATTAGCTGCCCGTAGGGACTGAACAGCACGGTGACAGCTGGATCCGAGTAACTCGCTGAAGGAGGCAGATGGTTACTTTTATTCCAAAAAAAAAGAAAAGGCAAGGATATTTGGGTTTGAGCCGCCTGGTTTTGCAAGGCTGTTGGCATAAACCTGTGGATAATTTTTGTTGCCCTGATGGGGAAACCCGCGGTTAATCACGTTTGGCTCTTTCTGTTCGTTCCGTCCATGTCCTCTGTGCCCGTTCCCGGTCTCCCTCGTGGCAGGCAGCGTGTCCGAGGCGCTGGGGCCTCAGCAGAGTTTCCACACGGGACTTTCATTTCTCCGGCCTCTTCTGCCCAGGCAGCAGCGACTCGAGATTCCCCATCCACAGAGGATGTGGCACTCTGGAGCTCTGGATCCTTTGGCACAAATCAGTGTCCTGCCTAAAACATTTGCAGCACAAAGTGGAGCTTCGTGGGGTTTCGTGGTTTTAGATTAAGGAGTTACCACTTGCTCAGTGATGAGGCTGTTGATAGGCGTTGTGAGGGAACTGGGATGGAGCCGTGTTTCCTTCCCGGTTCTCTCATTCCTCACAGGGCCAGTGAGGCAAGAGCAGAAAATAACCTGCGGGTACCTCAGTAGAGCCTACGTAGGACTTGCTTTCTGCAAAGCAGGGACTTGCTCCAGTCCGTTTTATCAATTCACATCTCCTTTCCTTCCACCCGTTTCAGTCGGCAGCAAGAAAGTGTCACTCTATTTGCCAGTGCCATCCCAGAGGGAAAAAGTAACGTAACTTTGTGTTTCGGTTGGAGAAATATCTTCTCCCTCAGAAGCAGATGTTGCTGCAACCAGGACTGTGGCAGCAGTTAACCAAAGGTTTTCCTCTGTGGAGCATTAAGGTCTTCACCTTCTGCAGTGACTTCTGAGCTCCTCTGGCCTATCCAAAGGCAGCGACGCTTCCTCAGAGCTGGAGACCCACACGATTTCTCAGCGGGGTTTTGGCTCAGCTCTGCCTTGGGCATTGCCATGTGTGCCCTGCGCTGCGACCAAGTCGGGCACCAGCTTTTCAGATGAAATCTCCGGTAACCTCCACCAGTCAGCTGCCTAACTGGGGGACTTGCAAGGCTGTGTTTGAAAAGATAATTTGTAAAAGTTGAATTCCTCGAAATAACATCAATGAAGTAAAAGGGTTTGAATTGAAGGATTTTATTGATGATTTGGGCCTTGGGAAATAGGGTGGTACAGGAGCAACAAGGGAAAAAACCCCACATTTAGCTGTTTGTAGTTAGTTGTTGGTAAGCCCTTTGTATTCAGTCTTTGGGAGAGTTTAAATGGACCCTTCTGAGGAAACAGATGGCCTCGGGGACCATTTTTTCCTAAAGATCTTAGTAGGAATTCGCTACTGGAGCTAGGCTGGCTCCTGCGTCCCCGTGTTGCAAGGCCGGTTGCTGTAGTTGTGTCCGCTGGGAAGCGCCAGGAGCCTCCCAGGGGGCTGCTCCTCTGCCCTTCACCGTTGGCTTCCCGGAGACGCTGTCCCCTTCTCGAGGACACTGAACCCCGTCGTGAGTCTGCGTCGAGCAGGCCGGGACCGGCGCCGTTACCTGAGCGCCGACAGGCCTTTGGGCTCTGCATCCTGGCCCTGCTTGGGGCTGAAACCCCACGGAGCGACGGGAGACAAAAGCAGCCGTCTGTGCTTGGAGCGGGAGCCCGGGGCTCGCTGACTACCTGTTGGTACCGGCCCCATAGGCGGTGGGGTTCCCGGGGTCCTTAAACATCCTGCAAGGAGCGTGCCTGGCATTTTACTGCGCTCTCAACTTACTCTTTTTTTTTTTTTCTGTAAGAGTAGCTTTTCTTGGATGATAAATGTGATATTACCCATTTTTTGGCATTTCTTGGGGTAGCTTTGAGTCATTAATGCCTCTTAAATTTGCCCTTTAGCAGTCGCACTGTGATGTTTTAATGCACTTGGTAATCCTGTTTGTTCATTTAATTTTATATCTTGCCTCCGCAATATCACAGTTTTAGCAACTGGCTTTTTTGGTGCAAGACAGGATTTTTTTTTTCTGACCCATTAAGACGTCAGTAACAAGGGTGATTCCTCAGAAGAATCGTCCTTGAGCAGGTAACTGGCCAGGAGCTACGAACTTGCACCAGCTCTGCAGCTTGCATCCCTGCGTGGTGTTTTCTCTTGCCTGGGGTGCTGCTCTGTGCTGGAGCGCTCTGGGTGGCTGCCCTGGCTTCCTTACCTTGCTTTGTGCTCTGTGCTGACACTTTGAACCCACAGACGTGCAGTTCTGCCTCGGTGACGCTTTGCTGCTGCTGACACCACTTTATGATGTTTATGACAGTTAATACTGTAGGCAGGAAACACACCACAGCACCTAATTTGAACTAGAGCAGCGCTCTCCAAAGATTGGAAAATACCAGGGTAAACTCCAGGATGTTATGTAAGCAGGCTTAGCACTTGTTAAAAGTTTGCAGAACTGTTCTGAAGGAGAGAAGTGAGCAATATATTCCCGGAACGAAGCGGTGATGAAACACAGAAGTTGTGACTCCTGCGTCTTGGGCTCAGCCAGTTTTGTTTGGCCATGCACGTGTTAAACTGGTGAAAACCTATTCCAGTAATTCCTAAGGTAGGTTAAAGATTTGCAAGGCTGTTTTACCGTGTGCCGGGTGGGGAACTGGCTGTGTATTTCAGCAGGATTTGGGCCCTAGTTCCACACACGTTTCCTGCAGCATCAGTACGAGCTCAAGTTGCTCTAGAAGTGTGTGTGGCCTCGTGGAGATCTGTGTCGGGGAACTTGCACGCTGACAGATCACTTAGGTCCTGTTCTGTTTCTTTATTTTTCTCTCCTGGCTGGGTCCTCTATTTGATTTAGGTCAGAGCTTAGAACTGTAGCGGGGATCAGTGACCATCCCGTGTAACGCAAAACTAACACGAGGAGGAAAAATCCCTGACAACAAAGCATCCCTTTCCCCAAAGAGGTTCTTGCAGGGTTTGACTAATCCCATGTAGCTGTTCGGGTAGAACAGTCCATACAGTTTGGCCTTGATGGGCTGGTTGCTTCCTATTTCTCTCTCTGTTGGTTGGAAAAAGGGGATGTATGTAGCCCTGCTCTCTGCCATGTGCCCAGGTTGGCTGGGCAAATCCGAGGAGTGTTTTTCCGTGACTGTCAGCGTGGACTGTTTGCTCTGCACCGTCCAGACCTTCGTGGGTCTTTGCTGTAGGGCTCTCGGAACAGCCCGGCCCACGGCGCTCCGTTTCTAGCCCTATGGAAGCTGAAAGCTTCCGTCTGCCACGGCGCATCCTGGCGAAAACCGTTCGGGATGCGCAGGATCCGTATCCCTTGCAGTACAAAGTGTAGTGGTGCAGGCAAGAGGGGACAAATGAGGTCCCTGAAACTTCCTTTTTGTGTCCTCCTGCGAACGAAATATGGGATTGCAGAGATGAGCATTGACCAGGAACTGTGTGTAGAGAGTGCAGCCCTCGCATGAGAAATCCCTGCCTCGGTCTGCAAAAATGAAATGCAAGAGGTCGGTTTGTTCCTAAATAGAGCCTGTGAAGGGTTGCCAGCGTTGAAAGGTGCAGTTTAGCATTGAAGTTTGTCTTTAAATATAACTGCAAGACTAGTAATTTATATGCAGCTGCAATAAAAATGAAGGTGCATATTGGTTATAGGAACGACCTTAGCTTTTCTCTTGAAATGGAAATTTCAGCTGTATGATCTTCTTGCTGAACTGTCCTTTTGCTTCCCTCGCTTGCTTGTGCGTTTGTGAAGTTTTCCTCTCTGGGTTTTCTGGTTTGAAGTGTTGATGTTGCAGAGCTGATTTATTGCCCATTCATCCACTTTACCAGGTGTGATGCTTTGTTTAGCGTTTGTAGGGCTGTCCTTGGTTGATTTGGTGGAGGAGTTGGCCCTGCACGACTGCAGGAAGGATGGGAGCAGGGTCTGTTGATGCAGTTTCCCCAGAGCCTGCCCCTTGCCTCTGCCCGTTCCCCTGTATGCTCCTGCACACCAGGCATTATTTTATCCTGTTGGCTGTGCTAGATCCTGTACAAACTCCTCTTACTGGTCACTCTTAAAATAAAATGCAAGAAAGTATCGATCAGAAAAAGGGTATGAAAACAAACATATGAATGTGAGGTTTCGCAGCCTGAATAGGTACGTAATTACACAGTATTGCAGGATTGGCAACTGCGGGGTTCAGAAATCATGATTGATTTCCTCTGAAATCAAAGGATTTAGAAAAAACCTAGAAAAACCCCAGGAGATATTTTGGAAATTCCGTGGTTATTTGCCTTTTGTAATGCTTTATGGTTTGCAGCTTTCAAATTGTTCTTTGCTGCTAAAAAAAAGAATTAAAAAAAAAAGCCAAAGGCCGAAGAAAGGGGACACAAATAAAACTTAAATGAGAGAAGCTCAAAGGCAAATAGAAAACCCCGAGTAATTTAACACTGGCATTATTGTAGGAAAACTGTTGGGCAACAGTGGGAATTGCCTGTGCTGTTCCTGAGATGAGCAGCGTTTTCAAGTGGGAAGCCGGCAGTGAAGCATGAATTTGGTGGCACTAAATGCTGCTGGAACTGGGTGGTCTGCAGAGCATCAGTCGCTTCCCTGGTTTCACGTGGCCAAGGAAAGCCAGAACAGCACTTACTGCACTCGGCCTCTCTGCTGATGATCATTTTTCCCCACGTTTTCTC